TTCATATTGCTTGACTTGAACATCAGAAAAAGTTAATTGGCTGGAATTAAAGTTGTTTAGATGGGTTTAGTCTGAATCATAACCAACTGCAAGCGGCTTCTTAAACACGATGATGCCATACGGGACAACCCGGTCGAAAACTAATTGCATGAAATTATCTAAACTATCCGATTCCCTTGCATTGCTTCCGTATCCGAGATGCTTTCCGTTTTCAGCAATGACGCAGGTCCTCGTTCCTGCGACGTTGTTCTTATTTGATCGGCAGCTTTAGGGTAGCCTAACCTTAAGCCCTTCGAGCGTCATCCTCAGGGACGGATCTGACCAAACCCAACAACTCAGCAACAACATGATGATCCATCGATACCCAGAGCTGACAACGATATTATCGCTTATTGAGCAGAGTTATACACTGGATAAATTACGAAGTACAACAGCTGAAGGCGACGAAACCTCCTGATAGACCAGCACGACCTGCTGATACTGCCTCCCAACTTGGTTGCCTTGGACGTTGCAAACTAACTCAACAAGCTCTCCCTATCCTCCAGCAGCATTCTAGAATCTTCCGCTTGATGGAGCTCCCCTTTAGATGTTTCATTTCGCTGGGGACCATATCTACGACTTGTTCTACGAGTTGCGCCGTGCGCTGTCGCTGTCCCGCTGCTTCAGCTCGAGACTCCAGACGAGTATCATTCCTCAACCGCGGAATCTGTCCTCTGCCTCTCCTTTGAGGAAAGGAGAGCCCCTCCCTGGTGAACGATTGCCATCCCATTTCTATTTGCAGAGAAGTTGACATTGCGCTTCGAAGAAAATAGCGATTTACACGACGGCGCGCAACGAGTCCTTGATCCTCGACCCCGATCTTTGCCACGAAACCGGCGCGATAATATAATGCGATATAACCCTACGTGATAAATTGTAAAGAAGAGGAGGGGAGAAGATATTGCCAGGGCCCAATCGACTAGCTTCCTACGCACGCTTCGAAAGCGGTCGCATACGGATACCCTACAGTACACGTTGAACGAGTTCCAAAACCCATCGCACCTCGACTACTTAATCCCATCCTGCGAGACGCCCGATGACGAGAAGCCCTCGAATTGGGAAGCCCAATGTTTTGAATATCCCTCCCAAAAAAAACAACTCCTTCTTCCTAGCAGGCTGTAGGAGTCTGAGATCGTAGGCGAGGGGCGTCTGGGCGCTCTCCCTCTACAGCGTTCGTTGTCTCTCTGTAACCGACTTGAGCTTGGCAGCGAGCCATCCCCGACGTTGGAACTTGCCTTGGAAATCCTGTAATGACTTGCTACTCGAGGTGACCATTGAACTGTGATAGGCGTAGTTTACTTTGGGATCTTTTGGCAAAGCTGGAAAAGAGAACGTGTTATCTGACCCCAACCGAGGACCGGGGTTAATAGGTTCAAACTTACCTGCTTGAGGCCGCTCGAGGCTGCAGCTGTTGATTGTATTCGCCTGGATCGCGGCGGATAGGATCAGACTTGCCTGCTTCGAGGCTGCGGATGGCCCGCCAGCATCAACGGTCTTGTAAGTTGGCTAGAGAGTACCATAAGTGACAAACACCACAACTGTTCCTTGCTCCGATTAGGGCTAAAAGGAAAAGAGTAACAGCACAAAGCCGAGTACCAAGTCTCGCAAGTTCGGAATGTCCCCAAAGTAGTTCTGCGCATCCTGATCTATGCTGTAACATAAAATGTACCCTCGCCAACTACCCAAGCATAACCACCAGTGGGCAAAATCTCGCACCTGTGCTCCTAGCTCAACCGTGCTGTTCTAGAACAGCAGAATCAAATAGCGCATGAGATCTTTCATGGTGAGCTCGCTATCAGATTTGAGTGCGCCTTTCGCCTAGCTTTCGTTATAACTGCGTTGGCTTTTGCTGTCACTGGAGTCAACCAACATCAAGTTTGCCCCCCGGGAGGTCCCAATCCACCCCGGTATAGCCTACAGAAATATCAATAAATGAGCCAACTCCGCCTTGAGGAAGCAGCATTTTGCACGGGACGTATAGAAGTTGCTTATCTCCCTCTCAGCGGCTATTTACCCAATCCACGCCAGATGTGTGGTGTGCTTACCCTACGAACATTAGAGTAACTGCGTGATAAAGTGACGCAGATTAAAAAGCCCCGGGGACTTCGTCAAATCAGTGACCAGGACGTCCTGGCGAGCAGTCTTTGATTGGGCGGCAAAGTCGACCACGGACATATAATTTGCTTTCAGATTGGCTCGCAATTCCTGACTTGCCACCCCCGGTTGACAATCTCTATGGACAGAGGTCAAGTAGATATGGTTACAGCATTACGTAAATATTATCTTGTTTGTTCAATCTATACCGTTATTGCCTCAAATTATGTGTGGTTATGCTGACCGATTATCCCCTGTCCCAAGTATGTGATATATCCTTTGCCCAACCTTATTCATCACCAGGTCTAGTCTTTGGACAGCCCGAGGGACTAATCCCAAAATCTTAGCATGATTTTATCATCGTATCGTAATCCAGCCCGCTCCCAGTCCCGCTGAAGAGGGCTGCTCAATGTGCACCAGATGCACTGCATGTTGAATTATACTAACCTCCCAAGGCAGACATGGTTGTCTGGTATGCTTGCGTCCACCACCTCGTATCGATTTCCGGATCTCGACGCAACAAAGTGTCTCTCGGCCGTGATGCCCTGCTCATTAAGCATTCTCCACGTGGAGCCGAGGCGTCGAACCATGACCGGCTGCCATCCTCCTACGTTGATGATGATCTGTTTCCATGGCCGAGTCGGATCCTGTTCTGCTCGTGATCTGGTCAAATTTAAAACCATACGCATAGCCTCCTTCGCATCGAGATCCACGCCTTCCGGGCTGTAGTCCATGGGACGAACCGCGGTCTGGACATGGAGAGTCAAGGTTTGTAATCGGCTGAATTGGGAGACGGCCTCCAGAAAAGGCTCGGATGGGCAATTGGCAACATCCATGTCGATTTCGAGGGAACGGAGGAAAGGAAGAGTTTTCGCAAGGGCGCAGACGTCGGAAACTAGTAGAGTTGGACAAACACGATCTTCATCGCGAAAGCCGACGTGATCCCTTAGCTTTAATCTCTGTAGTGACCTTGCGTGGCCCCGGAGAGATTGGAGGTCAAAATGTTTTATGTGGCAGGTTATCTCGAGGGTATCCAAGGCGTAGATGTGGTTTCCGATCAATTGGGAGAGCATTTCTGTCGCCTCCAAACGACGATCCGGCATATGACTGCTCCAATCATCAACTCGAAGCTCTCGGAGGTCCCTTAGATCTTGAAATGAGACGGTGCTGAGAAAATTGAAGATTGGAACGGAGATCAAGCCCAAAGTTCTTATCCTGGAAAAATCCCAATGTTGTTTCACATCTTCTGCACTATGCTGCCAATCGTATGATGTGAGCGATAGATCAATGAGCGCTGGCATACGCTCATCAGGACTCTGGAAGACCAATTGAGTGCCCTGTCCTCGATCCTCATACTGAAGAGTTTCCAACCGTGAGCTCTTCAAGAGTAGATTCTTTAGGGGCTTCAAGTTGGTGACCAGGGGCGTGCTTGGATGAACCAGCTTGAGTGACACAAGCATGTTGCTTGGGATGGCCCGCTGATATGCGTCCTCAATGGGAGCTTCGTAATCGCACAAGGGGAGCTCGCTCACATAGAGACGAGTCTTTTGAGCGCCTCTCTTCTTAGGATCTAGGAGTGTGGATGGCCACATCTTGTCGATATCGACATGACTATGGTGCAGTGACCATCTGTGATCAAAGTCAGTCATCAACACATTGAGGAACCAGAGGGGCGTATGGGGAGGTCAAAGCGAGGGGCGACAGACCGGATAGTAACGAGTCTCGGAATACGCTCGAGAACTGTCCTAATTCGTATAGGATCGAGGCTGCCCCGAATCGCTACATGCCTTGTAAAAGCTCGGATGTGGTCAAAGACACGGGGCAAGGTAGATTCAGCTGATGGGGTGAGTAGTCGATGAGTGAGAGTAATGGTGTGATACGCAATTGGTGTGGCGATATCATTGAACCTCTGACAAACCAATCGCACCTGAAAGAGGTAGACGGGACCAATGTCGCATAACTACCACACGAGTCAGTCTTTGTGTCTTCCTGTTTCACAATGTAGGCACAAAAGACTGTATTACGCACCTGCTTGAAGATGAGCTGTATCAGTTCGGGACCCAGGCACGATAAAGAGGGTGGAGCGGCGGGGGAGGATAGGTCCATGAATCGGGGGATGTTGACCAAGCGTAGTGCCTCTCGCACGGCTGCAGCTGCCGCCGCCGTCGTTACAGTAGTTACTGTTGTGCTATCTATTCATTGGATAAGTACTTGAGCTTTAGCATTGATGCATTTTGATACGCGAGGCTGGAGAGATAGTGATGCGAATAGAAATCGGAAGGAAAAGGTAGCGAGATCGGGAACGATGAGGAGTAGAGTGGAGTTAATGAAGCAAGAGAAGAAGGAACATAGATAGACCGAAGAGGCGAGCAAGGCGGAGGTGTAGGAGACGGGTCAAAGCGGGCTTGGAGCAAACTTGAAGACGAATGGGCAATGATAGGGCCTAGAGCAACCTAGAATGGGGCTACAGAGGCATGTAGACGAGGAAGCCAGCAAGCCGAGCATGAAGTGAGCAGGGCAGGATGCAGTGGACGGAGCAAGTAGTTGATACTACAGCAAAAGGACCAAGGAAGGAAACGAAAGCAGCCACATCTGTGGATCGAACGGTGTGGGGGGACATGCAGAGAGAGCCGTTGAACTGTGCTGATGAACGGCTGTTGGACGGTTGAGGGAAATGGGACGAGATCAGCAAGTCCACATAGGGCCATATAGGCCATACCGTATATAGGTAAGATGGGGGCGCTGTCACTTCACCTTGTATTGTACGTGTGTGTACAGTGTGTTCATGTGGGGGTAGAAGAAAGGAAATGGTGGAATAACACATACTTGTTATAGAGCCAGTACTTGGTGATGCCGAGAAGGAGAACATGGCGGGTGGTTTGGAGGATAGAGCCGTCATGTCTAAAGACTGGGACAAGAATGGGCTCTCCCCAGGACTGAAATTTGATTTGAAGAACATGTGGGAGGGGCATACACCACACCCTAGGTAGGAGGCTTGGGGGAGTTGGGGGTTGCGTCGGAGGATTGTTGGACGAAGATGGACATATGATGTCGACCGGTCTAGGGCTGCCTGGGGCCTGTGTTGGGATGGAGTCGGTGCCGGGAATGATGGCGACGGTGGTGTTGTTGGTGCTGGTGATGCTTGGGATATATACTGGCCCGGCGTGGTCGAGGACGCCGGATCTCTGGATGGATGACGAATCGCTGGTAGCAACTAGCGCATGCTCGCACACGCCTTCCCTCCTCGGTCAGGACAAGTCGATGATGGATTGACCAAGATGCTGATGATGATGATGACGGCCAGCTGTCCGACTGTATGTAGCAGATGTGTAATAAAGGGATGTGACAAAAGAGGAGAGTCGGGCGAACAACGGGTCGCAAGACACGCCAGCAACGGAGAAGGAAGCTTTCCTAGTCCTCTCGACGATGGCTGGGCAGCAGGGAACAGGTGTGGGATGATTAGACGGGGAGAGGTGGATAGAGAGAGGGACGGCCATGTGCTGGTGTGTGCTGAGGAGCCAGCAAGCAGTGGGAGCAGGGAGGTAACGGACGGAATTGGGCTTCGGGGAGGGCGGCATCAACCACTAGGGACTTACGGTGCTTCCTCAGAAAGACAAAAACGCATCAGTCAAGCAATGGGGGATTTCCTCATTGACATGGGCATTGACCGTGGCTAGGGCGTTTGTCATGCGCTGATGCGATGCAATGCGATACATGCACCGACTGGACGGAAGAAGCAAAACCTTGTAGAGGGCGGCAGATCTGTCTGCCTATATCAGGTGCTCATAAGAAGACTCGTTCACGGCAGCAATACGCACAATAATACCTGCAGCAATTATATACACCCATGAGCTACGGGGAAGGCGGGAGACCCTTGCTCGGTCAGGAGCCAAGTCGTCGTCGGTCAGCCGTTGGGACCGCGGTGGTAGTGGGAGTCTGGTGGTAAGCGAGGCGAGGATGCGGCTAAGAATGCACAGAAAAAGTAAATATAACGTCCGTGACCATGCACTACGCACTGAAGAGGCAGCGCTCAGAGGCTAGGACAAACTCAATGGGACCGAAGGAAGTGAGCTGAGCTGAGCTGAGACTGACTGAAGGCCGGTGGAATCAAATGGATCAAATGGAGGGGTGGAGATGTGACGATGAGGCAGAGCCAGTCGTCCCGAGAAGGGAATGTATGCGGCCCTGGCAGGACGTGCCTGCCTTCCTCGTGCTGCACCTCGCTTGCAGGCAGGTGCCCAGAGGCGTGCCTTCCTTGCCTGGCAGCGCTACTCACCACTCACCTCATCATAGAAGGCTGATGGATGGCGGCTCCTCTGCTGCTACTTTCTAGAATTAGATACTATCTAGAATTAGGCATATGCTGTGCTGTGCTGGCCGGGTGGGATTGGCTTAATGCCTGTTCGCAAGACTATCCCAAACAGGTATTTCTTGAGGGCTGCCGCCAATGACATCCGGCACCCGCTTTTTGCCCTCTCGCCCCAGCCGGAGGGTCCTCGCCAGGCCAGACCGATGCCTGTCCACATGTCATATGGAAGCAATAAGACCAATCGCCTCTCGATGGTCTGTCGATTGCTTCTCCATTCCTCTGCCATCTTGCCCTTGGTTTTCCGTCCTGAGCGACCGGCAGCGCGCCATCCCAAGCGCTAGTCTCTCATGGGCAAGACATCCATAACAATGCGTGCGTTGTAGCACCTCGCCAGTCCCACGCGAATATCATATATCCGCTCCACGGTGCTCGTCCTGGTTCTGAGCAGCCAAATTATTTCCCGAGACAAGGCAGGGATGCGAGATGGGGCATGGGGTAGCCAGCTCCCTGCCCGGCATGGCAACAATAGAATCAATTTCCATGGCATATGTCATTAGGGTATGTCTAGTTCCGACCATAATGATCCTGATAACGGCCCGGCGATCTGCTGGGAGACCGCCCGCTCTGTCTACGCGAGCGACAGACGTCCACTGGCTATTGGAGACTACTGGCTGATGTGTCCATCCTCTTTGCAGATGATGGTTTCCACCCGTCTGGAAATGATCTGACTGGCCGCCACCAGAGCCATAGCTAGACCTATTTCCAACTTGTCAAACCACTGGACTGGTTCCCAGTCTCACCCGACGCCAGAACAGTGACGCGGCGACCGAAACTCTGGCTTCGGGAAATATTGCCCTTGTCTGAAGTGAAATATATTTGACCGACCAGTGCCCGTTGCAACGTCAGCTCTGGAGCGCCATGGCATGATGGACTTGTCGTATGTTGTGTTTTACCTTGGCATCCGATGACGTTCCATCACCACCAGGATCGTGGTTTGACATCATTCCACAAGCTGTCGGTTCGCGGAGAATTCATCACTTGCGGTGACCTCTCCCTGGGAGGCTCCCTTTAGTGACAATAGTAAATTCTACTAATGCCAATGGCTATGCGATACCCACAGCGACGAATCTACCACCCGAAGCAGCCCCTGTTCATGCGCCCACCCGCGCCGTTAAAAGAAGAGAAGCTGTGGGTAATCATAAGTGGCCCTTTCTTTTCGTTGGATCTAACGACCAACATCTCGCAATCATTTCGGAATTGGGTTTAAGCCTCCATGCAGCTAGCCAGAACCCTTGCCAAAGCGAGCCACGAGAGAACAGACCTGACCAGGTCATTTTGGATTTTCTCTCCATTGACTGTTGGTTCTTGCTTGGCTCGGGGAAATTTTCGTGTCAGACAATCTGGCAGATCAATCACCAGTTTCAATGCAAAGCCCGTCCTCATCCCTGGGACCCTGACTCAACACATCGGCGGTCGTCTCGTCTTCCCAAGGCCTAGGCTCGCTTTCACTTCCGTTCCAGGCAGCTCTCTATCAGTTTTTTTGGCCTCTCTTACACCACCGACGTTTTTTCCTTCACACGCCTGTCTTGGATCGGTGGCATCTGGCCGGCTTCTAGAACACTCGGCGGCCGAATCCCGCGCGGCCATATTCCGAGTGTGCGCCCATCTACAGACATGACATGTGAAGACACGCTGCACCATCTCCCAACGTGTATTAAGCCGCCGCGCCAATCACACTCCCCGCCCCTGTGCCGTGATAAAGTTTGCCCTTTGTAAGGTGACGAATCATTCGGGCATCAATGAGCCTTGCTTTGACCGTATCCGACACCGCGTTCCAAGACTCCCGGACCCTTTTCAAACGTCCATGCGTACACATACACGTCAAGCTGCCTTGGATGGGTGTTTGCATATCAGAAAACATGTGTCTGTTTCTGCACATCGCTATTGCACACCCAGTAGCCATAGCCTGTATGTTCTTCGCATCTATAGATTAAATGCGGTCATGTTGCGCGTAAAATGCCCGCACCCGCTCCCTCTACTGACTGCGTAGACGCCCAGGGCCACGAACAGGTGTGTAGGACAAAACACTGGCAGAATTCGCCAGCGCAACGGGCGTCAGTGAGAGGGTGTGTGGTCTCGGAGCCTCATCCCGTTCAGCACGAAGATCATAAAGACCTGACTAACCTTGAATCCTCCGTGTCACGACCATATCTGCCTGTAGCTCACTGCTACGACAGATTCCACGAAAATGTTCTCAGCGGCCACGAAGCACCGCGGCTGAATGTATCCATTCGCACTTTTGAAAATTTTCTAGAACCTCTTTTCCCGTGTCATTCATGCCGTTTCTCCCCAACTGCCCTTGTCCAACGTGAGCTGGGCCCCCTCCCACTGGTATCAGCAAAATTACACCCGCCTGTCTCAGAACCAAGAGAGTGCAATGATTTGAATAGATACTAGAGCAAGAGGGGATATGAGAGCAACGGCGTGATTCTCCCTCCCGCTTTGAGATGCCTTTGCGAAGTGGAGGCAGATCTCTGTCCACTCGCATCCTCTCCCCACCTGCACCCTAGATACAGCCCGACCCCTTTCGTGACGAGTCTCTTCTCCTCGTTTCTTTTTCTACTTTGGAATCCCCATGCGATTTTGACTAGGGTTGCGTCGTGCAAAGAAGGAGGCACACCCGCGGGTCTATTACATACAACCGCACTGAAGATCTTCCGCGTCGCCAGCACATCGCATTCTCCGTATACCAGGCCTCCACGCAGCGAGACGGGATCGCCACATGTAGGTCGGACCGCTCATGTAGAAGGGCCGCTCGCATGGACGAAGGGGGTAATCAATGCATAGCGCTGGCCTGGTTGCCAATCACTCCTGCAGCTCCGGCGGCGGCCTACATATACGCAGTCTGGTGCCTTTGCCGTTTCCAGCATCAACTCCGAAGGCGCGCGGACGAGGTTCGCAATGCATAGGCGCCCGATATGTAGAGATTTCTTCTTTTGGGATGGAAGCTATTTCGCCGATGAAGCTGTTGGCTCTAATCCCCCACTTCTATGTCCGTCTCATTCTTCTTCATCTTCATCTTTCATGTCTTTCTGCATCTTCACTTCGTGGGATACGCTGTAATTATCTTTTCCAAGCAAACATTCAGGTATCATTCCCATGCCAAAAAAAAAGTGGAAAGAAAAAACACAAAAACAAAAAACAGCACACATAAAAAAACATCAAACAGGCTGGCTTTATCTTGGTGACACCACCCGACAGACCAGTCCCGCCCCCCTATTCCCACTGTCAATATATACCACTATGCCGACTGCATCTGCATCTCACCATCCGACTGGCCTCCTCCCCCGAGCACGCGCTTAGTATCTGTACACGGGCTGTTGCTCGGGCTCCTTTGTCCTCGGCCCGGCGTCATAAATGTCCGACTCCGAGTCCTTGTCGTCCCTAGCCTGCGGCTTGAGGAGGGTGTTGCTGTTGTCAAGGGAGCTCTTGTGCACCGTGGCCGATGGCGGCAGAGACGCACCCGCCACGGGGGAGTTGCCAGCCGCTGGGGCTGCGCCAGGGCCAGTCGATGCACGGAACCCAGGATGGAATGGCTCCTCTGGGTATTGCAGCCCGCGGCCGTCCTCCTCCTCGCCCTTGGGGTCCGCAAAGGGGTCCTCCTGAGCACGGTCACGGTCAGTGCCCAGGCCGTATGGTTGCGTCTCCTTGCCCTTGCCATTGTTCACGGGCTGCTGCTCTTCTGCGGTGACTGGCACGTGCGCGCCGGCGGCGAGGATATCAGCCTGCGATTGCGTCCACTGGAGAACTCTGTCCTGCCCGTTCCTCTGGCCCTGCAATGGCGGGAACTCGTCAGGTGTGCGCTCGTTCAGGCCGAGCTGCTTCCTC